CTTTTATGTCATTTTTTAAGAATATATTTGTACGAATACATTCAGGGTCAGTTCAGTTTTAAATAGTATTAATTATTCCAAGAAAACTAGTATGAATAAAATAAATCGATGAACTATGAGAAAAGAAACGTTGTATTCCTGTACGATTGAATTCTTACTCGAATCAATTCTTATTGGAATGTGAATTTGTATTCAAATCAATTCTTATTCGAATGAAATCTAATTCAAATAAATTGTTCTTCGGATAAATTCTCATTTAAATAGATTCTTATTCGAATAAAATCTTCGAAGAAATTATTATCTAGACAAATTTGTATTCGATCGCATATTCGTCCGACAATGTCGAATAAAATTTTGTCCGTCGGTCTTTCCCTCTTATCCGTCATTCGAATAAATTTTGCCGCAAACTAGCCGCGGTCGCGATATGCCAGCAGTAATCCCTCGCATTGGGACGATGACTCGCAAAACCCTGCAACCCACCCTGTTGCGCGGCCCGGCATCAGCGTGAGAATTATCGATCGTTATCGATCGCCGAGGCGGCGCGAAGATCGCGTAGCGCTTCCTGTTGCGCTCTTCCACGGGGATAATTGACGCGGCTCCTATTATTCTTATTGTCGCAGCTCCCCGCGGACTTTATTCTCCTAGGACAGAGCCGGCACAATGGCCGCCGGCCGATCGGCCGAGCTTACTCACCCGCGACAATGTTCCTCTTTTTGCAGAAGCCGAATGCTGCGTCGGCGAAGCTGCCGGAGAGGCGTGCTGGGAACCTTGTTACTGCGTTCTCCTTCAAGACGAGCAGACCCTCACGGCTTACAGGAGCGAGGACATGGCTGTGAGTACATTCTCCATGACGATTTTCTACCTACCCTACTCGCGGACGCGAAAAGACCCCCCCAATTTCGTCGAATGAACCGACCAATCCCGCTTTCTTTGTTCGCAACGCGTCTATGAACACCAATGTCTAATCTTGAACTACTGGATAACTCTGGAATATAACTTATCAGTATTTCTTGGTTTGATGAATTAGCGGGCTGCAAATCTTTAGACATTTTTAGAGTAGCTGAGAGATAGGTTGAATAGTCGTACGAATTTTCTGGGACGTAATATGTATCCTTCCGGTAGAACTGTTTTTGTTTTAATTAGAAAAGAATCTCCGATTAACGCTTTGTGTCAAGAGAATTTTCTTCTTTGGATTATCTTCTAACATTTCGGATGTATTTTTATTCGTGAAATAGCAACGCTTCAAATAAAATATAAATATATTATAATATATTTGTAATATATGTATTTATAATACATTTGTAATATAATAATATATTTATAATATACGTATTTATAATACATTTGTAATATAATAATATATTTGTAATATATGTATTTATAATACATTATTATAATATATTATAATATCTAATATATTAGATTATACATGGAGTCCCATAATTTTGTTAACATCCGGAAAGGGGTGATTCCTGAGTTCATTTGAAGTAACTTTTTCCTTAGCGAAAGTGCAATTCGCGGCTTTGTTTACGAGTTATAAATGAAAAACAATGATCAATGAATATTCAGCATGTTCAGAATATTCGGAACTTTTGGAATTGTTCAAATTTTTGAAATGTTTGGAACTTTCGAAACTTTTCGAATTTTCGGAACATGTAAATGATCTTTCAAATCATCCTGTTAAGTTGCACATGTTAAATCAGAGGAGACAACGGGTGCGTAAATCACGCAATACTGTGTTCACACATTTTCTTATACATAGTTTCCAAATTAATTTTTAATTAGAAGTGTATTAACTCGAACAGAAGTAGATAAAAATATATAAAGCACGCACTGAAATAAGACGTCTTAAAGACGTCTTATTTTCAGTCGTACAATGTTCAGACCTAAAATCGACGTAAAATGGACGTCTTCAAGACGTCCAGTGCTTATTGGGTAGATTCGAATCTTTGCACAAAATAATAGACACGCGACAAAAAGCGACTATCGAGTTATTTCGTTCGAAGTTTGACGTTATGAACAATGTTTAGGATTTCTATGCGAAATAAAAATGTTCTAAGTCAGTAATTGTGATAAAAAGAAAAAGATGATATGCATAGTAATATTCTCAAATTCATTGAATATATTTGATGATGTATATTTCGTGATGCATTCGAAACACCCAGTATAATTTTCCATAATTCTACGTTTTGACACTGACTGTCACGCCAAACACCTCGAAAAATTTTTATAAAATTGAAGTACTTTATTTAATTAAACTTTTAAAAAATTGAAACGTTAAGTCTTATCAGTTTTAAATTTTAAACATTTTTTCGTTTTACGGATCTTAATAACAGGAAGATATAGTGTGTAAATTAATTTTCAAATACGACGAAATAATTCCGTCATACTTGGAAATATGAAATAGTTTTTGGAGGGATCGCAAACAAGAATAGGTGGAAAATATGATACAGTAGTAAAATTGTTGGAAATGAGTAATGCGACTAGATCGAGGAAAGAGTAAATCAGTGAACTACGAGGAGGAGTCGTTACCGTTAATTCCTAACAAGTTTCCTGGTCTATTATTGTGGTTAGTTCGTTATTAATGTTTTATTATACCCGACGAATCTAATAAAAATATACATACGTTCACGGTAGAAAAACATTAAATGGAGAAAATAAGTGAGAATATAGAATGAACCATGTTCATTAAGACATTCATTAAATTATAATAATTTGAATGATTAATTGTTCATATTAATTATTCGCTGAATTCATAATCGTTTTCATATTCCTGTGAATATTTAAAAACTATTTCAAAAATAAAGTACATTAAAGTACCATTAATTCAGTAAACTTCATTTCAATGTAGTATAATATAATTTCCAACGTAATTTAAACTAGCGAAAAAATGTCTAATATATGAAGACACTAAAAAGAAAAATGATAAAATTTCGCAAGAAAGAAAAATTAAACGAACGAAATAAAATAAAATTTCGTGTAATAAATAGTCGGACAAATAGAATCATCACGATGTATCTTTTTCGAATCCAGCGAAATCCAGTTTACAAATGTTGCGAGGCCACGAGTTCCGCTCGAAATTAATTTTCCAGATAACGTTGTAACACGGCCGGCCGTATGAATTTCAATGGGAATACCGGCGGGCTCCGGCTGCCTTTGCACTTGTTAGGCATCGACGTTTCTACGCGTTCAGAGAAATCCTACGTTTTATCGCGTTTACACGCGCACAATGCTCGCGCATAGGCGAAACGGGGCCCGGAGAGTTGTTTGATCGCACGGTTGGAATGGCAAAGGGGCGCCTAGCCTCTAATTCGATTAGAAAGTTTATACCCCTTCGGCTGCCGTTTGTACAACCAACACGCTTTCAAGACTTTGGACTTCTGACCGAAACTGCGGCTGCTGTAAATATCTGTCGAGATTATGGTTAGCAGCGTGTCTGCGGGCTCCGTTCGCCTGACGATTGATGTGCCGACGGGAATGGTCGGGGCGAAAAACCATGGGGGTAGAACCGCGGCTTCGAACTTGTGTCACTGGGGTTGAAAATGAACATGGCAGCCGGCGGAGATGCGTTTTCTTCTGGCAATTTATCATTTTCTTACGGCTCGATTTACTAGCTGCCATTACTTTTGTTGCAACCGTGCTGCAGGTGCTCGGGCTAACATTGATTTTTATCGAGTTATTTTCCTGATGGAAAATGCTTTCTGAACGTTTTTAAAATAACGTTAGAATATACGGGGTGAGTTTTTCGACTCTTTCACCTTCATCTTTCTTGCTAACTTGTTGGACAGTCAAATTTTCTGCCTTAATAACTAGGTTTAAGTAAAATTCCGTCTGGCGGATAATATATTGGGTTGGCAACTAAGTAATTGCCGATTTGTTCAATGAAATAAAAAATTTTTTTTTATTTGGAACGAAGTTTAATCTGTAATGTATTTTTCCATTTTGTTCGATGACCTCTTGCCATCTCTCTGACAACTTGAAAATTCCACGCTCGTAGAAAGTCTGATCCTTTTCGGCCAAAAACTGAGTTAAGCGAGATTTTACAGCGTCATCATCATTAAAAGATTTACCACGAAGGGAGTTGTCCAGGGATCGAAATAAGTGGTAATCCGATGGCGCGAGGTCAGGGCTATATATGGTGGGTGTAACATCAATTCCCAACCAATATCCATCAATTTTTGCCGAGTGCTGCTTGAAAATGAGTCCTGCTTGAGTCCTGCTTGAAAATGACACCTTTACGATTGACCAATTCTGGTCGCTTTTCCTTGACCGCTGCATTCAATTTGTCCAGTT